TTGAGACCTCCAATCTCTCGAATATAGTGATAAGCGCGACCTCCACTCTTAGCTTTCATTTTTCCCTCTTTACTTCCATACACAGTACTAACTTAAGCATCGGAGTATTCCCGCCGGGCAAACCCCCGGGAATCCTTCCTTTCGTCTTCTCAGGTGCTGCTCGTTGCCAGCAAGGAGCCTGTCAGCCGCCAGCTAGGAGTGCCCGGATCGCGCCGCATCACTTGCCATCAGGGTTTCGTCACAATCCACTTACATGTCACACCACGTATGACTATTATATTTTTAGAAAATGACAATAATATCCTTTTCCTTCGTTCGAGAGAGAAAACACAAATGAATTAGGTTTTTAGGTTTTGGGGTTAAATAGGAGCAAATTATGCCATTTCAAAAATTTTGGAAGGGTATTTCTGACTTTGTGCTAGCTCTGAAATGTGTCTTAGCATGTTAAGAATCAGGCTGTGAGCTTATAATTTCAGATCTAAAAACAAATTTCAGATCAATTTTCAGACACCACCAAATGAGTCTGATGTCTGAAAAACAAGTTTTTCAAACACTAGACCTCTGAAAAGAATTATCAAACATAGGTGGCATTTGATAACACTTTTCAAACCTTTGAAGTTTGGAAATGTTGCTTTTCAAACGGCACCTATGTTAGGGTTGAGTATGAAAATTCAGATCTGAAATGAATTTTTGGATCTGAATTTGTAAGAGGCAGGCTAATGACTTAATGCGCTTAGACATTTTTTAGACCGCATTAAAAGACAAAAATGCCCATCCTTGATTTCCCTCACCCTCCCTCTCTCTCCTCCTGTTTTCCAGCCATCGTCGTTGCAACTCTCAGCAGCGATGTTTCCCTCTCCCTTTCTCTCTCTCTCTCTCTCTCTCTCTCTCNCTCTCTCTCTCTCTCTCTCTCTCTCTCTCTCTCTCTCTCTCTCTCTCTTTCCCTGTATTCTCGCCACTATCGCTACAAAGAGTTGCAGCGGTGTTCAATTTCCCACAACCTCTCTCTCTCTCCCCTATATTCTTGCCACTGCCACTGCAAAGAGTTGCAACGGCGTTTGATTTCCCACACCCAGGTTCAAAGTATCGACACGTATCGGCCCGTATCGACCGATACGTATCATTCTGGGACCCCTCCGATACGCCCCTACAGTGGGTGTATCGGGGGTGTGACCGGTTCAAGGGGTGGAGGAGCCCTAAATCGGCCCCCCTGAACCGATTGCGAAAAAAATAAAAAAAAAACATCAAAAAATTGTATCGATTCGCTTGATACGCCCCTACCGGCATATCGGGCATATCGATATTTTGAACCTTGTCCCACACACTCTCTCTCTCTCTCTCTCTCTCCTTGTCTTCTTGCCACTTCTACTACAAAGAGCGGCGTTCGATTTCCCTCACCCTCTCTCTCTCTGGCATTTCCCTCTCTCTCCCTCTCACTCACTCTCTCTCTATCTCTCTCTCTTCCCGTCTTCTCACCACTGCCACTACAGTGGCTTTTGATTTTCCTCACCCTCTCCCATGTCTTCCTGTCATTGTCGTTGCAACTCTTAGTAGTAGCATTCACGTTCCCTCTCTCCCTCTCCCCCTGTCTTCCCACCATTGCTGTTGCAACTCTCAGTAGCGGCATTCGAATTTTATTCTTAATAATGTATTTTTAATTTATAAATTTATATGTATTTCCAATTTTATTCTTATTTTAATAAATTATTTTTTATAAGTTTTTTTTTGTATTAATTATTAATTATTTGATTTTTTTTAATTATTAAATAGTTTAATAGGTTTAATTTAATAATTTGATAATTATTAAATATTTTTCATTGCTTCATGGACTTTATTACTATTTTCATTATTATTTTAACTTTTAATTATTTATTTTTAATTTATAAATGTATATATATTCATTTTTATTCTTATTTTAATAATTTTTTATTTTTTATAATTTATCATAATTTGTTCATATTTTTCAATATTATTTTGAATTTAGTAAAATATATTTTATGAAATAATACAAATTGAACTCAAAATTACCAAATAGTATGTTCTAGGGATAAAATAATAAAATTAAAGAATTTCAGATAATGAAGGTTTGATCCAATACAAACAATTTTCTCTATTCAAAATCTCTAAAAAATCAAAAAACATCTATGTCTCTTTTAAGATTTCAGATGTCATTAATATCTTTTTAACTTTTCAGATTTCAGATTTTTCAAAAGCTAAAATCTGCCCTTAATTTTAATAAGAGGGCTGATACTTTTCCGACAACATGGAATGTCAGGTGTGACACTAACACTCTCAGGATAAGTGGATAAGCTCTATAGCTGGTTGACGTGGTCTTCTTTAATTATTTATTTCTTACAGCATTAAGCCGATCTTAATAGCTCTTAAAACGAAAACAATAAATACGTAAAAGGTAAACAGAAGTTAAGTGATCTATTGCTATTGGGCGTACAATTCCCGTTCGATAGCTACATTTCTATCATATCTATAACACGTGGCGGTTGATGAGTTACCATTTTCATTGTCAGGTGACGGTTAATGCAAACTCCATTGCACGGGTCGAAAAGAGCATTCAGTTGTACACGTGGCAAGCAAAGATGGCTCAGCGGGATATAATCTGTGGTCCGACTGAACCGATATCACAGATTAATTATTTATAGGGTAAATTTTTTAAACTACCCTTATAGTTTAAGCAATTGACTAACTGTATCATTATTATTCGAAAATTGACTAACTGTTATATTTTCAAAAATTTCCAACTTATCCTTTTATGTTAAAAAATGCCCTCGTTTGGGAGAGACAATTATGTCAAAGTACTAGCACCGACAATCTGCATACTAGACAATGAAATTACCAATCGAATGAGGCGGCCATGGCGATCGGATGATGATTGCCTTCCAGTCGGCGTATCGCCATTGCAAGATGATGACGACCTTGTTCGGCTTCAAAAATTTAATCACCGGTGTATTGCCCCTACAAGTGAAAGACATGATTCGTCGTGGCTCCTTCACCATATGTCAGTTCTCCTTCAATTCAGGTCATCCTTCTCTCTGACGAAGACAAGTGGAGAAACCTCGAGCAAAGACAAGGCTTTTCCCACACATGAAGGGAGCCTTGACTGGAACCACCATCAGGACAATCACCACCTCCGTTTGCACAAAGACATGGCTCGAATTAAAATCTGGAGCCTAATCTGATGTGGGCGAAGAAACGAGAGCTTGGTCTGATGGTGGATTTGTCCAACGACCTTCAAACTTAAATCTGGAGCCTGATCTAATGTGAGCGAAGAAACAGGAGAATGATCTAATGGCGGATAGCAAAGATTGGGAGGTCTTTGGATAGTATTCCGTTGGATTTGGCTTCGACGATTGAGGATGAAAGGATTCCTGGAGAGATCGTTTTCCGTTACTTTGATCAGGAGATGTCATTGGATTTGGCTTCGACGGTGGTTGGCTGATGATCTCTTCTTGGCTAAGGTTACCATGATTGGATTTGACTTTGATGATTGTTGGCTGATAATCTCTTCTTCGCTAAGGCCACCATGACCTTAAATAAAAAAAATGTATAAAAAAATAATACTTCTCACCAAAGCTCTACCATTCGGAAGTTGTAGTAGCCGTCGTCGCCTGTGACGATGATGGTGCTCAATCTCTACTTTCAGGCATTTTGTTCAGTTGAGTGAACCCACACATATGCATTAAAACAAGGGATAAAAAGGTAAATTTAGCTTTCGGTCTTAAGATTGAGTTAAAGGGTAAAATGGGCATTTCAGATATTCCCCTTTATATTTAACAACACTTGTAAGACTTAGTGAAATGTAAGAAACAATAGAGGTACCACTAGTCAATTTTCAAACAGGAGGGGTATACTTAGTAAGTTTAAGAAATTTACCCTTATTTATATGGTTTTCAAAATCGGACTAGAAAAACCAGGAACCAGTCAGGTGATTGGTTCCGTTTTCCCCCAAAACCGTTGATTTTGGTCAATGAACTGCTGAATCGAACGATTAACCATTTAGCGGTTTTGATCGTTTTTAATTTTTTTTATTTTTTGTCAGAACGGATCAAGCATTCGGTTCGAACAGTCAGACCGTTCAACCTAATAACCGAACCCCGGTCAGTTTTAAAAACCATGCTTATTTATAAGGGCAAACTTATTAAAGTACCCCTATGGTGTATGAAATTGACTAAACTCTTATGTCTTAAAGTATATTAAATTTTCTGATAATTATCTAAAACCTCCATGTAACTGTTATATTATTTTTAATTTCCTAAAATACCCTCGGCACCTTCTCAAAAGAGCTCTTGAGTACAGATTTCTCAACAAAAGTTTTGCAACCAGGCAAAAAATCCAACGGTCGCCGGAGAAGCCAAACGACATTTTCAGCAAATACAGGAGGCGTAAGACAGGGGAAACTTTAACGGCCGACCTTCTTTTCGGTAACCATTGTATTTTCCCCCAAATAATGCTCTGTGAAATGCTGCAGCGCCATCTCATGCGATGAAATGTCGTCTCTTAACAGCCGCCAATGACAGCAAAGATTCTATCATCATTATCGTTGAGTCGCCATGTTTTGAGTTGGATGGCCTTGGAAGCTCTATGAGGATCTGAACGACTTCACGCATTGTAGGGTTTTCGACAGTCTGTTCTTCCACACACAATATTGCTAATACATGCATCACCTCATGGAGAGGAACAGAAGAAATATTGGATCAAGAATCTTTAGCACTCCCTCTTTGTTTGAATCTGTCATCTTCCAGACCCACTAGACTATGTCTAATAAGAAATAATAATGGGACAATCCGGTTAATTAAATGGTTTCCGTTGTAAATTGACATTTGGAGGTATGTCGTTGCTAAGGGTCCTCCTCTCTCTGGTTTAGTAAATTGACATTTGGAGGTATGGCAGAGGCATAGGGCTACTCAACCATGAAATCCTTAACAGGCCGACATCCGACATGTGAGTAATTGTCCTTGACGCAAATAGAAACATCTTTGGGCAATGGCGGAATGGCCTGACCTTTCCACCATAAAGATTGGATAAAACCACAACAAAGCCGTGGTGACCCACCTCGCTGAAATCTTCGGCCAATTCCTTCAATTCGAATTTCCCACTCTTTTCCCTGGGTGCTGAACCAGAGAAGACGGTCTTCAAGCTGAGAGAATGCAGCAGTGGACGGGAATTTCGTTGCCTGCACCAGCTACGATTTTGGAATCGCTGCAGAAATCAAGTGGGATTCGAATATAGATTCTAGATTTTCAGAAAGGCGTCTTAAGGCTGTGACGTCTTGGGCAGAAATTTTCAAGGACAGGGTCTTAGAGACGTCTTAATGATGGAGATGAGGCAGATACCGCTGCTCCCACTGTTGTTGTAATTGGAGTCTGAGAAAGTTGTTCGAGAATCCATGAGGGTTACGTGCAGTATCGATTCTCAGGGACAAAAAAAATAGAAGAGGATCTACCGTTTCTCCATCAGCTTCCTTGACGTTGCTTGGTCAGAAACTGAAGGTAGGTTTTATCTGTCTCGGAAACATCTTCGTCGAAGCCATGATCTATTTCCTCGTATTTTGTGTTTTATTTTGAAATTTTGAAGAATTAGTAAACGATAAATTCGACATTTTATTTTTTAACGATGCCATAACTGTAAAAATAGAATTAGTCAATTACCTAAACTATAGGGATACTTTAATAAATTTGCCCTATATAAACCAACTAACTAACCTCTCGTAATCCGTTATCCACATATCTCATCTCTCTGCGCGTCTTCTTCTCCTGCTCGCTCATTTGCTGCTGAGTGCTGAGTGCTGAGTGCCGCCTTTGGTTTCTCTCTTGAATTGATCTGGTTCATTTGCCAAGAGATGATGTTAGGAGGTCCCAAGAAGAGACAACGCGTGGGAAGTAGCAGTCACCTCTCCACCTTCGCTGATATCGAATCCCCCAGGCCCGACGGCACCATAACCGAGATCTCCCAGAAACCCTTAGGGCTTCGCCGTCTCCACCTTCCTTCGTCTTCCTGTAACTTCAACGATCCCTCCAACGCCGACGTCATTCTCCATCTATACCTCGAATCCTCCCTTTTCGATCCAGACCCCGACTTAATATCCTGTGTCGGTTCTGTCGATGAGGATAACATTCAGCTCCACCTCCACTCTGATATCCTCCGCCGCTCTAAATACTTCTCCGCTCTTTTGTCCGACCGATGGAAGAGGAAGTCCGGCGACGATTCCTCAGATGATCTGGATGGGATTCTCCGCCTCAATTTGAAAGTTCCACACTCTGTTGGGTCCATCCACTCCCATCTCACGGTGCTCCAGCTCCTTTACACCAATGATTTCTCCACTGCCATTGATAGTGCCTCCTGCGCCCTGGCGATCCTTCCAGTCGCCCTCGAGCTCCTCTTCGAGGACTGCATTAGAGCTTGTGTTCGATTCCTCGAAGCTGTACCATGGAGTGAAGAGGAAGAAAAGATGGTTCTAAGTTTAATTCCCTTTCTTAAGGAAGAGGAATCTCGGGAGCTTCTTGCCAGGGTTTCTCCCGCCTATAGAGATTCATCGGAGGACATGCTCCATGGCTTGATACTTGCAGCCATTCATAGCTATCCCAACATGGCTTTTGTGAAAGCTTTCGTGGCGAAGCTTCTGAGGGATTTCTCATCGAGGGATTCCGCAAGGAGGGTGTTGGATCGGACATTTGAGACAAGCTTGAAGATTGTCAAGGAGTCGTTGGAAGAGTATTCAAGCCCGGATTTTAGAGGGGATCACAACGAGACGGAGGCAATTCAGCGGTTGAATCTGCATACAGCCATGACTAATGGGAGGCATCTACTGTGGCTGGTCGAGAGGATGATTGAATTAAGAGTGGCGGATAACGCAGTGAAAGAGTGGAGTGACCAGGCATCATTCACCGCCAATTTGCAGAGGGCATTTCGTGATGATGCATGGAGGAATATAGTTCCAGGCCTTCCAGCTATCATGCTTAGATGCACCTCCAAGCTTGCTAATGCCGTTGCTGCCGGGTCGATTTTAGCTGCTAAGCAGGTACTAGTGCAATTCAGAACTTTGTTGCATCCACGCTTATTTTATACAGAATTATTGCTCAATCTGCTTTTTAGCTGTAGGTTTCTTGATGTTTCTATTACTTCAAAATTTTCTGGCCCTTTAAGATGCTTTTGTCCCAAAATGGTCTTTTTTTTTCTTAAATATTGTTGKTMATCATTTGGTCTATTGAAAGTWTTMTTCTAGGTASCTACAATGTTTTWTWWTTTTTTTTTTTTTTTTTTTTTTTTTTTTTKTKGACTTCAGTTTTCTGTTTGCATAACCGACATTAAAGAAATTTATGCTGCGTCTCTTTATTGCCATCCTACCATCCTAGTTGGGTGTGGCACTAATTTTGCTATGTTTATTTTATATTGCATTTTGTTTTTTGAGAAAAAAAAAAACAAAAACATTGCATTAAGTATTATCAAAATGTACAAAAGTTGGGCTTCCACAATAAATCACTATGCTAAGGCAACATCCATCCTGTACAGCTTACTCTATATGATTAGATATAAAAAGTGTACCGTTGTCAAAAAAGGATTTATAAGAAACATCCCTGAAGCAATTCTGGATTGCCATCCAAGAATAGATTCTGCCCCATAAGATCTTCATCACTGTATCTTCCAAACTAAACTTATTCTCAAAAGTTCTTGTTTTCATTCTGTCCATATAGGGTCCATACTACTGCCAAAGGGATAACCCCCATATAACTTTCCCTCCTTTACTCAGTTCCTTCAATTGCCAACTCCATAATAAGTCTTCCTATGTTGCTAGGAAACAGTTTTGTGCTTCAAATAAGCCCAACATTTGTACCCATATTCTCCTTGCAAAATTACAATGTATAATAAATGATCCACTAATTCTGTGACCTCCCCACACATTATACAGACACTACTGTCCACCACCATGCTTCTCTTGTTTAAATTGTCCACAGTTAAGCACTTTCCCAACATTGTTGTCCTTAATAGGAAGGGCACTTGATGAGGGGCTGCTGTATGCCATGGTCTAGCGACAGGAAATCTGAGTTTCTTGGAACAGGTTAGCTTGTTCTAGAAGGGTTTAATTGTAAACCTTCCAGACCTCTTCTATAACCATATTCTTGATCCTCCCAAAACCTTATTTTTGTTCCATTTCCCACCTCATATTTGATTCCCTTCTCAAAGTCACAATGTGATTTCTGTATGCCTTTCCAGTCTCCACACCTCACACACATAAAGTGCATTGGCTTTACCAGGATCCCAATTTGGATTACTTGACCCATAATTTGCCTGAATTGTCCTTCTCTATGGACTGTTGGGATGCTTATTCCACCTCCAAAACGACTTTCCTAGCAATGCCATGTTGAACTGCCTTAATTTCCTCATGCCTAAGCCTTCCAATTTCCTTGGACAACAAACCCTGCTCCATATTACTAGGTGAAATTTAAATTTTTCCTTCCATCCTTTCCACAAGAAGTTCCTCATTCTTTTTTCAATCAATTTGGCTACACTAGCAGGGACAGGGAATAAGGATAAAAAGTTGGGAGAGAAGATTTTTTTTTTTTTGATAAATAAGAGTGATTTCATTAAATCAAATAAACAGAGTACAGTCAGCTTAGGACTGAACTATAAGCACTAAAACACACAAGCCTGAAACACAATTACAAGGTAGCCCAAAACAGATCTCCCCTTGATACCAATTGCTTGGTCAGAGAATCAGCCATTGCATTTGCTGATTTGCTAACCCACTGAACCCTGACTATCATATTTCTTGTCAGCCATTTAACTTTCTTTAACAGATCCCTGTAACCCCAATAAGCTGTTTTTGGATTAGTCAGCCATCCATTACTACCTTGGAATCTCCTTCAACTACCAAATTGTCCACTCCAAGTTGATTGGCCAGTTGTATACCTTGTACCACTGCTAGTATCTCGGCCCTTACAGAATCACCAACACCCGCTGGTCCTGAAAATAAAGACATCATGTTGTTGTCTTTATCTCTCAGAGTTCCTCCTATTCCGGGTGGCCCTGGATTACCTTGGCAACTACCACCAAAATTCAATTTTACCATTCCTTTCGGTGGAGGTTTCCATTCTACTTGTAGTTTGTTCTTTGTGGAGACTGTAGAAGCCATTGCTGCCCAATTTCTCCTTAAGTCATCAAAGGAGCAGTCCACCAGCAAGTGTGAAGATTTCAACCACGAGGCTGTCCTTTTCATTATGCACTCCTTGACTTCAGCAAAGCTTCTTTCCTTTTCTTGAAATGTTCTAGCATTTCTCTCCTCCCATAACATCCACAAGGTAGCGACCCTGATACATTTCCCCATTAGCTTCCCTCTTTTTGTCATTCTCCCAAAGGCAGACGGAGTGAACAGCAACTTTACTTCGGAGGGCAAGTTCATCTGCACCCAAATAATAATACAACCCAGTTCCAAATATTGGTAGCAAAAGAGCAAGATATCAACAAATGGTTACAGTCCTCACCCCCTCACTTTACACATAAAGCACCAATTTAGGGACAAACACATAGGGTTTCTTCTTTTGCAAGTTTTCCATAGTATTGATCTTATCATAATAGGCTTCCCAACAGAACACAACTATTTTAGGAGGTATTGGCCTTGACCAAACTTCTTTAATAGGGAAGACCTGAGAGGAGGGGGTAGAGCAAAGGGATTTAAAGAAAGATGCACAAGAAAAGGAGCCAACCGGGGTTAGAGACCAAACCCTTTTATCCGGGTTAGGGGGGTCCAAGCACACAGAGTCTAGAAGCAACAAGAGCTTTGAAAACACAAGAAGATTCGTCATTCCTTAACGCTCTTGGAACCCAAAATCCCAGTTTAAAGCCAAAGG